GCTTTCAAAATATCCCAAACAATCATTGAAGATGCAGAGTGTCTGTTATCATGCAAGAAGCTTTTCAACTGATTATGTAAACCGTTCATATCTGTAAAAAGAGTAATCCAGAAGGGATTGAGCTTCCATAATGTGCATAAATTTGAACTGTGTAGAGGACATAGAAAGGTGCAAGCGGAATGGTCAGAAAGCCCTCTGGCTAAATAAGAGACATAATCCTAATTAAAAGGTATGCGCTAATAACAAACTTATACAAAGGTGTATATCATCATCCAAAAAACATTAGTGTTTTAAATAAATAATTATAGTGTCCAAACAATAAATTAGTGTCCAAAAAATATATATATATATCTTCAGTGACTTGAACCAATTGTGAAAAATCCATTCCAATTTTTCACAATTGGTTCAAGTCACTGAAGATATATATATATATATTTTTTGGACACTAATTTATGTTTGGACACTATAATTATTTATTTAAAACACTAATGTTTTTTGGATGATGATATACACCTTTATATAAGTTTGTTATTAGCGCATACCTTTTAATTAGGATTATTGTTGCCAAAATTTATTTTGGGTGGGATATGCTGCTGACATTTTGGTGTTTTTTGTAAGTGGTGCTTTTTTCTTTTTTAATTTGGTAAATAAGAGACATGTGGTGTAAATTACATAGACATGTCTGAGCCCAAAGCTCTATCTATATGGAATAGGGAAGAGCGAGAACTAGAGAGGCAAGAGAACTCGGCTTCTAGAGGGTGAAAGAAACGTAGATGCCGTTCATTACGCTGAATTTCAGCAGAGAAATCTGGAAAGATAGATATTTTCCCACCATGGATTTCCATATTCGATTGTTGCCGGGCGACTCTAAGGATAATGTGTCTGTCCTTATAGTGTAGGAGTTTCAGCAAGAAGGGTCTGTCTGTCCCCCCTGGTGGTGGAGGACAAGATGGCACCCTATGGGCTCTTTCCACAGAAAAGAAAGGGATAAGATTATCTTTACCAAAAGTGGTTAGGATCCAACTCTCAATCAATTCTAGAGGGTTATTACCCTCCACCATATTTCTGGCAGTCTTTAGAGGGCCGTTGAGGAAGCGGATCCCCTTAATGTTGAGAAGACCGTGCTGCGGCAACTCCCTCCTCCTTTCGTTTTGTCATGGCTCCTGCACTCCGAAGTAGCAGCGGTGACAGGATGTAGTTGTGAACAAAATCATCCATGTCCCCATTAGGTACAGTAGGTGGTAAGGTCTCCTTTCAGGATAACGGCCAGGATTCTGGCGGAGCTGTACAGGAAAACTACAGCTCACATGGACGGCCAAGCCACGCCCTCTCTATGTTTTAATCTTCCTGATGTGTGGAGACATTTACACCCTGACAGGGGGGAATTTACCTGCCATTCAGCCTCATTCAAAACTCTCTGTTGGATAGATTTGGCTTTTTCCTCCCCCGCCACATTTTGTTGTATCACAAAAGCCAGTATTCTCTCTTGCAGAATATTTGACCATGCACCTCTTTGTTTGACCCTTTCAGTCTTCTCCGCTCCAGCATCTCGGTTGTGGCATCTGTCTAGATTTTGGGCAATGGATGAGCACTTACATGAACTACTGGAACCCTTATGTAATTTCTGGGTGCGGAATGGGGACTCTCACATTGTATTGTGGGATGCCTTTAAGATGTGGGTCCGGGGGGGAGTACATATCTCGCATATCAGTGTTGCAGAAGGAGTCATCAAGGTCGATTGAGGCTCTGGAGGAGGAGGCGGCTGCACTGGAGGCTGCATATGTTAGGCAGCCCAATCAAGAACATTAATCAGCTTGGCGTCAGGTTTTTACGGCAGCATACACTTGGCAGAGTGGATCTAACTAAAAAGACCTTTTTTCATTCAGCCCAGAAGTTATTCAAATATGGGGAAATAAATGTGAAGTTGCTAGCTTGGTTGGCTAAGAGTCAGACCCCGATGACCCACATTGGTGACATTGGTGAGGGGTTGATTTGCTCACTTCTCCTGACCTCATTAATGCTCATTTTTTGAGGACTTGTATTCATCTAAAAACAATTTTCTTCCTTCTGACGTTTCAGTTTTTTTTTTACTCCATTTCTTTTCCCACTTTGGATGTTTCTGATAGAGGCAGGCTTGATGCTGATATTACCTTGGAGGAGGCGCAAGAGGCTAATAGGCGGTTAAAGGGTGGTAAGACCCCCGTGGCTGGCCGATGGAATTCTATTCTCAGTTTGTGGCGATTGTAGCCCCTAATCTTACTGCTCTGTTTGCTGATCTTTCCTCCATGTTCCTTCTGCCGATGACGATGGAGGAAGCTGTCATTGTGTTGGTGCCTAAGCTTGGTAAGGATCCATTGGACTGTGCCTTCTATCGGCCTATTTCATTACTAAATGATGATGCCAAGATCTTTGCTAAGATTTAGGCCATGTACCTCTCTAAGGTGATTGAGGACTTGATCTGTGTGGATCAAACTGGATTTATTCCGGGCAAGGGCACTGACATTAATCTCAGAAACTTGTTCCTTAATCTGTGTATGTCCCATGATAAATTTGGCACTAGAGTTATTGTCTCACTGGATGCCAAAAAGGCGTTTGATTCAGTAAAATGGGTATACCTTTGGGAAGTTCTCCATCGCTATGGGTTCGGGCTGACATTTCTACACTGGCTTCAACTGCTATATCATGTCCCTAAAGCACGTATCTGCACCAACGGCTGGCTCTCCGCTTAATTTCCTTTACATCATGGTTCGCATCAAGGCTGTCCTCTTTCACCAAGTCTTTTCGCTTTGGCCTTGGAACCCCTGGCATTTTGGTTCAGGGACCTTCAGAGGTCTGGAGTTTGCGGGTGGGGATGCTGGAAGAGAAGATATCAATATATGCAGATGATACCGTTATATCTTGGTGACGTGGGCCCATCCCTGTTGGCTGCGCTGTGCATTTATGATACTTTGGAACCTTTTTGGGTGTCAGAATCAGTTTGTCCAGATTTCTTCTCTTTCCTCTCGATGAGTGAGCAATTGCTTCTGCCAGCCATTCTCCTTTGTGCTGGGTGGATGAATGTAAGTACTTGGGGGTTTTGTAACTAAGGATCTGCACCATTATTTTGATCATAATCTTCTCCCGCTGTTGACAGCTCTTAAGTCGCGTTGTTCTTCCTGGGTTGACCTCTCTTTGAATCTCCTTGGTCGCATTAATCTCAATAAAATGATGGTCCTACCTAAGTTTAATTACATTTTTAACTGTCCTATTTGAGTCCCTGTTTTCTTTTTCTGTGAGATTGATTCATGTGTGGACTCCTTCATAAAGAATGGTGCAATGCTCAGTTTGGCTAAATCCATCCTTTGGCTTCCCTCTCGGTTGGGAAGGCTAGTTCTACCTAAATTTCATAACTACTTCTAGGCGGCGATGCTGGTCTCCGTATATTGGTGGTTCACAAGTCCTAGATAAAATGCTGTGGTATGTTTGGAGGCTGCCTTCCTTGTCTCCTCTGCTGATCTATGAAATTTGGTATACAGGGTTCCCAGGGCCTTTGACAGGGTTCCTGTTCTGTCCTGTGCCACCTGGAGGGTGTGTGTGTAGGGGGGGAATTAGTGGTCCCTTGCACAACCTCTGTGGAGTATTCCTTCACTCCCTCACCTCTGTACTGTCCCAGACCCTCAAGTTTGGGCACACAGAGGTATCAAAATTCTGGAGGATATTATGCCCCCTGGGACTCTTTTGTCCTTTATGCAACTTTCCAGTAAGTTCCACCTGCCAACCTGGATGCAATTCCGCTCCTGCCAACTTCAACATGACATTATGACTCAGTTCCCTCAGCTGCCCCTCCTTCAGGCTGATTTAATCAAAGAGCTGCTAGCCCAGGGTGACGTAGACAAGCCTCTTTCTACACTGTATGGAGCCCTCCTTACTACTGACTCCCCTAAGCTTGAGTGGGTGTGGGAAAAGTGGAGAGATGATATTCCCTCCCTGGATAAAGAGAGCTGGGCAAAATATTTGGAGGGGTGGTCCTAAACTGGTGATTTCTTCTAGAAATAAGTTGATCCAAGTTAAGTTTCTTCATAGGGTATACTATACTTCCATGAGGCTCCATAGAATATACCTGGCACGACCCAGTGTGTTCTCGCTGCCATGCCCATCCAGTGTCCTATATTCATATGTTTTGGGATTGCTCAAATCTAGCAAGTTTTTGGACTGATGTCTTTGATCTAATAAATCTCAGGTTCCTTTCTATTTCCACAGAGTTAGCCCTTTTGGGGATTCAGGAGGATGATCAGCATTCTCATCATACCAAACTACTGATTTCTTTCCTTTTCTTCTATGCCAATAAAGAAATCCTCCTTAGGTGGACCTCCTCCACTCCTCCTATGGTGTCTTCCTGGGAAATTATGGTGGATGTGGCCCTGCCTGTGAACAAACTTACATATCTCAATAGAGGCTGTCCCTGGAAGTATGATAAAGTGTGGTCCCCCTGGACCTCGAGATAGCGTTCCCGCTTTTGCTCTTTTTTCCTTCTACCTTATCCCCCCCTCTACTTCCTTCCCTTGTCCTTTTTTCCTTGCTTTCCCCACTACCTTCTTCTATCTTTACATTTGGATGGTTATCCTCCCATGGGACACGGTACCTCCCAGACTTAACTCATGGTATCTTGAGTGGCAATTTAATGATTTTTGTTATGTACTTACATGCTTACTACCCTGCTGTATTGTTCAGATTGGCACTAACTGTTCATTGGCTTTGACAATTATGTATGACATTGTATATTGTGTATGAGTTTATTTGCTTTATACTGTTCTTTATTGTATTTAATAAAGCACTCCTGATTTGTAAAAAAAAAAAAAAGGTAAATTTCTCACATCAGTGGCTTTTTAACCGCTTGCCAGCTTCCCTATATTAGAAGTACTGCTACATGGTGGCAAGGCAGCGCAAAATCAGGTATATATACATGATTTGCATTTCTGGGTAGGGGGCGCGCGTGACCTTTCCTTGTCCTGTGCTAGGGATGTCAAATCACCGGGTCCCGGCCGGAGATTCCTCACTGGCACCCGGCGATCATCTGGGAAAGCTGACATGGGAGAAACCTGTGTGTAAACAACACAGGTCTCTCTCCTGCCAGCAAGGACATGCTGCTTTGTATTTCTCTGCCCAGCAGAGAAATACAAAGCAGCATGTCTCCATGGTAAAACAGCACACATAGCAAAACACACACAGCACACAGTTAACCCTTTGATTGCTCAAAAGTTAACCCCTTCCTCCCAAGTGTCATTAGTACAGTGTCAGTGCTTTTTATTAGCACTGTTCACTGTATTAATGTCACTGGGGATGTCAGTGGCAGTTAGTCAGTCCCACCCAGTGTCAGAATGCCCGCTACAGTCCCGCTATAAGACGCTGATCACCGCCATTACTAGTATAAAAAAATTAAAATAAAACTTTCAGTATATATACCGCCATTCATAGACGCTGTAACTTTCACGTAAACCAATTCAATTATATGTTTTGGTTTTTTTTTCAGCAGACATGTAGCAGAATACATTTTGGCCTAAATTTATGATGAAATCTTGTTGGCAATTAGCGTCTGTGTATAAATAATCAATGAGTTTGTTAGCTCACGTGGATACACTGAGCAGGCTAGATACTGAGCCATGGATGCTTAACAAGGTCATAAAGATGGAAAAGGATATTAAAAGATATCCAAAGCCTTGAATATGCCAGTCAGTCCTGTTCAATCACTTATTAAGAAGTGGAAAATTCAGGGATCTCTTGATACCAAGCCAAGATCAGGTAGACCAAGAAAGAATGCAGTTACAAGTGCCAGAAGCATTGTTCAGGATACAAAGAAAACCTACAGGACTTCTGTAGAAATACAGGCTGCTCTGGAAAAAGATGGTGTGGTTGTTTCAAGAAACAAAACTTAAACAAGTTAATTAACATATATAATACTTACATTAAAATGAGCTGCAAGGTCAAGTTGCCAGAAAGAAGCCTTTACTGTGCCAATGTCACAAAAAAAGTCCAGTTACAATATGCCTGACAGCACTTTGACATGTCTCAGAGCTTCTGGCACACTGTATTGTGAAGTGATAAGACCAAAATAGAGCTTTATGATCACAAATATAAGCACTATGTTTGGAGAGGGGTTAACAAGGCCTATAACGACTAGAATACCATCTCCACTGTGAAGCATGGTGGTGGCTTAGTGATGTTTTGGGGGTGTATGAGCTCTAAAGGCACAGAGAATCTTGTGAAAATTCATGAATAGATAAATAGATGAATGCAGCATGTAATTAGAAAATACTGGAAGATGATTTGCATTCTTCTGCATGAAAGCTGCGCAAGGGACGCTCTTGGACTTTCCAGCATGACAATGATTCTAAGCACAAGGCCAAGTTGACACTCCAGTGGTTACAGCAGAAAAAGTGGCCATCACAGTCTCTTGACCTTAATATAATTTGCCAGGATGAAAGGGCAGCTATATGACCTGCAAGGATTCGGGGGGGGGGGGGGGGGGGGGATACACAGTGTTAAGAACCAAGGGTATGCAGACTTTTGAACAGGGGTTCGTTCATATGTTTACTTGCTGCCACATTTTGTTTTATGATTCAGTTGTGTATGAATCCCATAAGAAATAAGATAAATGTGTTTTGTCTGCTAATAGAACAGTGCTATTTTCTTTAAAAATTATATATACTGTATATTACCAATTCTCTGAGGGTATGCAAACTTTTGAGAACAACTGTAACTTTAAGAGTAACTCCACTTTTGTTGAGGAAAAACAATCCCCTCTGGGTAATCAATGTTCAGGATTTTAATATACTTTGTTGCAGATTTCTACCTGTTTCTGCTCTGAAGGAACAGCTCTTATTTATTACAGATACTTGTATAGCCCCATCAATTTATGCAGCGCTTTACATATATATTGTACATTCACATCAGTCCCTATTCCTCAAGGAGCGCACAATCTATGGTCCCTAACTCACATTCATACATACACATACTAGGGCCAATTTAGACAGGATCCAAATAACCCATCAGCATGTCTTTGGAGTGTGGGAGGAAACCGGAGTACCTGGAGGAAACCCATGCAGGCACAGGGAGAACATGCAAACTCCAGGCAGGTGGTGCCATGGCTGGAATTCAAACCAAGGACCCTAGTGCTGCCAGATGGAGCCACTGTCCTTTGTTTGACTTGGATAGTATTTCTCAGATACTGAATCTGAATAGGATTACCTGGTTTAGTATAGTCAGCTGATGCACTTTCAGTGTTCTGATTAAAAAAGTTGCAGTGTCTGCAGCTCTTTAGAAATAATTAACCCTTAGGAAATATCTAGCCAAAAATGACATTTCTGTTGCAGTAGATGACTAAAATCTGACTTGTATCTTAGAGCAGTTCCTTATATAAGCAGGAAATTACATTTTTGAAGGCAAGTATCCAAATGACCAGATATCTGTGCACCTCTTAGATATTAACAGTGATCCTCAAGATGATGCAACAATGACAAGAAGGGGGCAATATGACAGGAGGGGAGCAGTGCGACAGGAGGGGGGAAAGTGTGACAGGAAGAGAGGGGGCAGTGTGACAGGAGGGGGTAGTGTGACAAGAGGAGGGAGGCAGTGTGACAAGAGAGGGCAGTGTGAAAAGGGGGGGGGGGCAGTGTGACAAGAGAGGGGGCAGTGTGGCAGGAGGAGAGGCAGGATGACATGGGGGCAGTGTAACAAGGGGGGCATGATGACAAGGGGGGGCATAATGACAAAAACAGGGATAGTGTAACAGGTGGGGGGCAGTGTGACAGATGGGGGGAGGGAAAGACAAGAGGGGGGGAACTGTAACAGGTGGGGGGCAGTGACAAGAAGGGGACAGTGTGACAGGAGGGGGTCAAGGAGGGACTCTCTTACCTTACCCGGCAGGTGTAGCCTGTAAGCCAGAAGCCAGGAGCAGTTCTGGTTTCCTCCATCCTTGTGCACAGATGGGGGGAACTGTAACAGGTATGGGGCTGGGTGATGTTGTCCAATCGTCACAAGAGAACCGCAGTGATGATCCAGGAGAAGTTTCAAGAGTTCCCTTTGTGCTTTTGTAACTTAAAGAGGACTGTCTCGCCTACACTGTCCCGGCAGGAGTAGCTGTAAAAAAACAGCCACATACCTGTCCCTCAAGTCCCCCGCAGCCCGTTTCACCAGCCGTCCTGTATTCAGAAGGCCGGCATCTTCAGTGGGCAGTTTAGTTTTGTTTTCTCCAGCTTTGTGCAACATCTTATGCTCCTGATTTCCAATCGTCACACAGAGACACAGTGATAGCTCCATTTTAGAAAGTTTTCTCCTAAACGCAGATTTCTTTCACTGTCATTTCTTGAGACACTCCATACACCAAGGGAGTACTGAACAGCTCCAGGTTGCTATATCACATTGACTTTACAGAAATTTACAGCACTGCAGATTGAAATGGAAAGGTAATGTTTAATAACATTAAATTACAATATGACTTGCTATATTTTTTCCCTGAAAGTGGAGTTTTCCTTTAAGGTACAAATATTATTGATGAGCAGAGTGATTTCAGCACAGAATTACCAATTTTGCATCAGCTAAATTTAGCTGAAATTGGCCCCAAATGTTATGGACTACTTGGGGAAAATTTGTGTTACAAATCCACATTTAATCACTTCCCATCGGCCCATAGTCTATAGACAGTGTATGGGAAGCTGTGCCAATGCGGGCTAACATACCTGTACTTCAGCCCGCATCTGCAGCTCCTGCGTGGCTCACAGAGTGCGCACCCAGGAGCCCAGTGATCCATGTCTCGCCTGGACACAGTGGATCACATTACTGCTGTGTCTGGGCAATCACATGGTATTTTACCATGTGATTGCTGTGTCCAATCACACAGTAAACACTAGAAACTGAAACTAAAGATTGGTTCTCACTGCGAGAGCAAAGAGAACTGATGCAGCAGCCTAGGAGTGTAGAGCAACCTGTAAAGCTGCGTGTACACTCACAGACTGCTGTGCCAGCCAGCCCAGTGTCCCTGATCACTGTCCCAGTGTAGAAATAATAAAGTGTACAGCCAGCCCGTTACCTGTCCCAGTAGACCATACTAACGCCCTGATAACTGCCATACCAACCTCCTGATCACCACCATATGCCATACTAGCACCCTGATTGTGACAATCGCGGCGTCAGACCCCAGCCCTTCTCACCAAACTTGTGATCGAAGAACTAGCAAATCTAAAACCGTGCTGTCACGTGCATAACAATGCCACACCCAGCTGCACCCTGCACAAAGATTTTCCAGCTAATAGACTACAATCTGTGTACCTGCAGCCTGGTAGTGATTGTTACTGGGTCAAGTTAATTACGCAATTTAACCCTTCACACTGCCACCACCTCCTTTTTGTACAGAGAAAGAGGAAACTCTGCAATATTAGCAATAACACTATGATGGTTGGATAATCGTCTGTAAACCACTGTCACCGCAGGCAGGTTATACAGATGGTTAAACACACACATAGTAGCGCTCTTCAGAGGCAGGTATTCGTAGTTTGCATTAAAGAGCGTTAGAAACAGTTCAACACTTTCAGAAAGTAAGATTTATTACTAAAAGGTCAAAAGGGTGCAATAAAAATATTTACAGAAAAAGATGTAGCCAATATATATATATAAGTATACAGAGAACAACAGCAGAGCAAGAGAACAGAAAGAAGTTTAGATAGATAAAGTACTTGCCAAAAGCCTTGGGTTAAGCAGCTTCAAGTTTTCTGAGCAAAAGGGCGTTTTCTCCCAAAGTTGGTTCCGATGTTAAAGGGAGAATCTTCAACTCTCACACATAGCTTAGCTTTTTCTAGCAGCTCCACAGGGTGTCTCCCTGGAGCAGTAAACCAATCACCTCATTTGGGGAGGGAGTTTGTAAGTGGAGACCCAAGCTATGACCAAAAACTCTCATAGCTTATATTATGGTTCATAATTTACCCTGGGTACATACAACATCTTATCCACGAGTAGATTATTACGCAGAATCGCCTGTTAAACAGTTAGACATGAAACACGAAATATCTGCTTGAATGGTTCAGGAGATATAATGTTCTGCTATCCTGTATATGTCACATAGGGGATGTAATATA